TTTACTTAACTAATTTTTTATCTATATACTACTGTTTATTTTGTATATTTATTCTACTTTTTTTTATTATTAAAATAGTTATTGCAGAGAAAAAGTTGATGAGGATTATCTATGATAATCGATAAACTTTTTTTAAAAAGCTAGATGGAAATGTTCTAAATCCTCTGATTTAAGGAAATACATTAATAATACTCTAATTATTATAATAAGAGAACAAATATATATATATATGAGATAAAAAAAAATATTTATATATTTAGGATAAATTACAATGACACTTACTAAGGTTATTGTTTATTCACATTTAAAAAATTATATTTTTCTTCTTAAAATTTGTAATCTCATTACAAATTGCCCCCTAAATTACTGATATCGTGTCCTAAAATTTTTTAAATAACTATTTTGCTCTTTTTTCTATCATTTTTTCTTCCTATCATCATGATTATATTTTATAACTTTCCATCATTAAATTCTACCTAAACATATTGGTAAAGGGGTGGGGGAAAAGGGGATAAATCATTGTTGCTGAAAAATATAGCCATGACATTAGAAAATTTGAAGTGTGACCATGTAAAAATTAATTTATAAGTATTACTATAATGAAATAAAGGAGAATAGTAATTAATTTTCTTTTGAAGAACGAAGTGTAGGAGACATTGTTCATCTCAGAATCCTTAGAAGCAAACAAACAAACAAATCAAGCTTGGAAAAAAATTCCCAGTTGTCTGTCTCTCTCGCTTTTATGAAAATGGAGATCGATGCATCTGCAAACAACAGCGAAGAACGCAGTGGGAGATTTCAATTAAGTGAGGTTTTTTCGAAGATGATCAATGATCAATTTCATCGTCTTATGGAGCGTCAAGTAAGGAACGAACTTTCCTGGGTGATTCGGCCTATCAAACTCTGTTTTCGCATGAAGAAAACTTTGCACAAAGCTTGTGAGGACGGCGATTTGAAATCTGTGGAAGAGTTGATTCGAGAGAACAAAAACTCGTGTTTGGCGAAGAACGAGTTTGGATTCACGCCTCTTCATATTGCTGCACAGAAAGGTAGAATTGGTGTTGTAGATTTGATTTTGAAATATTGCCCTGAAGCTGTGAAAGAGGTGACTGCGAAAACAATGAGGACTTGTGTTCATGTGGCTATTAATCATAACCAGATCGAGGTTGTTATGCACTTGCTAAGATAGGTTATTGGAGAAAGGCCGGACTTTCTCTATCTTCTTAGTTTGAAGGATTGTAAGGGAAAAACTGCTGTTCAATTCTCTAATTCAAGCAAACAATTCCAGGTATTTGTTTCTCTTCCTTTCAATTCATCACATATACCCTAAACCCGAAATTGGATCTTGGTTTCTTTAGGATTTGTTTAATTAAATCTCTGACTTGTTAATCTCAGTTACTGAACTTTATCCATCGATTATTCGTTTTACTGGTGAAAAGTCATCAATTTTGTTGTCCCTGAAGAATTTGATAAAATGTGTCAATGGCAAGTACTGTGATTTTGTTTGTGTTTAGTTTTTTTTTTTTTTTGTTTCACCCCTAGGATTTGGATGATGGAATATTGATTGGGGTTAGTCCTAATTTAATATTTAATTGTTCGAATTTGAAATTTCTCTGGATTTCAATTTTCTCTGGAGAGAATTTCTCTGGGACTGAAATTTCTCTGGATTTCAATTTTCTCTGGAGAGAATTTCTCTGGGACTGAAATTTCTCTGGATTTCAATTTTCTCTGGAGAGAATTTCTCTGGGACTGAAATTTCTCTGGATTTCAATTTTCTCTGGAGAGAATTTCTCTGGGACTGAAATTTCTCTGGATTTCAATTTTCTCTGGAGAGAATTTCTTTGGAACTGAAATTTCTCTGGATTTCAATTTTCTCTGGAGAGAATTTCTCTGGGACTGAAATTTCTCTGGATTTCAATTTTCTCTGGAGAGAATTTCTCTGGGACTGAAATTTCTCTGGATTTCAATTTTCTCTGGAGAGAATTTCTCTGGGACTGAAATTTCTCTGGATTTCAATTTTCTCTGGAGAGAATTTCTTTGGAACTGAAATTTCTCTGGATTTCAATTTTCTCTGGAGAGAATTTCTCTGTGACTGAAATTTCTCTGGATCCTGTTAAGGGACCTTAGACATCATGAAAATATTTGTTGTCCTTTATACTATAAAATCATAATATCAGGGACCTTAAAAAAAATACCCCTTAAATTTATTTAAATTTTTTTTTAATTTATATACAAAATCTTTCAATTTATAATGATGTCAATATATTTATTTAAGAAATATAATGCGTGGTTAAATTTAATTATAGAATGATTAAATTTTTTTTTTTAACATATAGCCTAATGGATGGATATGAGATTTATAATTATTTTTTAAACCGAACTTGGGTAAATATAGAGGCTTAATATTAGGGTCAGGCCAGACTAAGACAGGCACACAATTTCTTATCATGTAGTGTCAACTCAGTTCAAACCTGACCCGCTCGACGTTTGTCCACCCCACCATAAACATCTACATATTATAATACCTAGCATCATTCAAATTAACTGAATCATTAACATTCGACACAATGTGCCTGTTTGGCAGAAATTATTTCCAGCTTATTTCAGCTTTCAGCTTAATTTAAGCTATTTTGATGTGTTTGGTTTAACTTATAGCTTATAGCTTATAGCTTTGTGGAAGTCAGAAATCAGCTTATTCTTTGAGTGGGGCAGGAGATGCTTTAAGAATAAGCTGGAAATCAGCTTAAGCTGAAAGTTATAAGCTATAAGCTGTTTAGGCATAAGCTATAAGCACTTTCCCACAGCTCTACCAAACAGGGCTAATATCTTATTGGATTAATTACACACACTTCTCTTGAATATTGAAAAAATATAATTAATCTTATATTTTATACATAATTATATTAGCCTCCATTTTAATGAGGGTAAAACAATTGAAAAATATATGTATATATTTAAATAAGAAATAGATGAAAATGATATTTTTTTTTATTTATACAACTGTCAAATTATTAATAAAAATAAATCTAATAGTTATGTAAATTAAAATCTCAAGGACGTTTGTAAATTATGTCAAAATAATTTGTATTTTTTCTAAACCTAAAGGGAGGTGAATGTAATTTTTTGTTCTTTAAAAGGTAGTGGCAATTTTAATTTTAAAAAATAATTATAACAATATTATATTGTTTTTATTTTTAATATTTAGCTTTGGCAAACAATTTCCTTCCCCAAAAAAAAAAAAAAAATCCTTCATTCAGATAAAAGCAGGATTCGAACCTGCGCGGGCAGAGCCCACATGATTTCTAGTCATGCCCGATAACCACTCCGGCACGCCCACCTTGGTGGGTTCGTTTATCTCAATTTTAGAATTTAAACAAATCATATCTTTGTACTTACGATTTTCAATTTTGATGCAGGTAAAAAAATTAAAATAAATGAAATAAAAAAGGACATATGTATCCGTGTATGTTTCATATTGCATCATCATACATAAAAGTGAATAAATTAGATTTTTTTTTTTTTTTTGCTTTTATTACTTAGGGGTCTTTTAGAAACAATGGTAAAAAATCAGAAGTTTTTTTAACTTTTTTAGCCAAAAAAGTCAATTTTTTTTACCCAAAATAACCCAACCTTTTGCCAAAAAAAACACCAAAAAGTTAATTTTTTACCAACTTCCCAAAACACCACTAAATCCTAATTCAAATTCAATATTGAAACACAAACTAATAACCTAACATTTCTTTTAAATATGACTTCACACAAGACTCATGACAAATTTCAATCACACAATACACTTTCTGTGTTTTAGGGATTGTTTGGGATGTGTTATATAAGTGTATTTTTTTTTATTTTTTGCCTAAAAAAGTAAAGAAAAAAAAAATGTATGTTTGGAATAACTTTTTGACTTTTTATGAAAAGATGTGTAATAAAATATTATAATAAAATAAAAATGATCATTCTACTCTTGTTGACTTTTTGACTTTTGAATAATTAAATTCAAATGGCAAAATAATAATTTTATCCTTTAAACTTCCTCCACAAATTTCTCGCAAATAGTATGATTTTTTTAATTTTTTTAATAATTTTTTAATTTTTTAACTTTTGTAC